TCGGTATCGAGTCCTTCTGGCATGCAGTATATCGTGTAGGGACCTCCAAACGTACAGAAAGAATGCCTGGCAGTACTGGTACTTTCAGTGCGAGTAAATCCGTCCCACGAAAAACAAAAGTTCCCTCTTGCTACCAATTCCACTAGACTTACAATAACCAGACCTTGTAGTTTTAGTATTAATAACAGCAACTTTTCGCAGTACTATAAAGTACTATAAATACTATATTATAACTGAATGTATTGTAAACACGACAGGTAAACTGGTTAAAGAACAGGCAGAAGAACTGTAACAACTACAAAGAACTTGTGTAGCATCAGCAGTTTGCAATATCTTCAGCAATACTCAATAAAGGACTAGCTGTGCAATTAGAACAGTATGAGTAACAGTAGCCAAAGCATCACTGAGGAACGACAGCAGAGCCGCAGCGAATTAATGCTGTTACACTAACAGTGCAAGCTGGAGATCACACGGCAACTTGAATAAATTTACTGCAGAAATGACTCGCTTCTTTTTATTATCACATGAAAGCAGAAAGACTAAATTCAGTTGTAAAAAAATGCAATTCAAGTAATCTTTCCGAATAAATCAGGGTAAATAAAAAATTTTACCGTGCCATAGCAGCTTCTAGACTTGAATCGTCGCCAATAAAAAAATGAGGTATAAATAAGACTGAACCGGGTAAAATATCGACATCTGCATGCACACTTATTTTAAGACATTAGCAACTTTCGCTGAACTAACGAGTTTCTATTAAGTGCAATAGTGACAGCTTAGCGGGCAAAACAAGACAAGCCTATGTAATGTTAAAAACACCCAAAAACTTAAATATTACCACAAGAACTACTGTAACATAACCAGTAATTTTGCTACATTACTGCTGTATTTATTCATCACAATTACACTTCTTCAAGCCACTACAATAGATTTCTACTCGGGCTTGAATCTAATGAAACAAAAACGCTGAAGCTAAAAGAAACGTTACTAAGAAGAACCTGCTTGCTAATACAGTTACATTCAGCTCAGTCCAACTTACGCCAAAATCACTGAAAACACTTACAAATTTTTCAAAGGGTTCGTTTTTGATGAACGAACCGGAGGGGACGGTGCATCGGAGGAGGTCTTCTTCAAGCAGATGCACAGATTCTTCAGAATCGATAAGCGAAAGAGGCACCAGTTTTCGTGAAAGGTCGATATCGTTGACGCTGTGCAATTTGTCGATCGTCGTTTGAACTTCCTACAAAAGGTAGCAGTTGCATAGAGTGATTACGTACAGAAAAAGAAATCACTGATCACTCTGTGAACAGCAATTACAATAACAATAGAAGCAATTAAAAGACTTGGCGCCGTTACCGTTGTGATTAAAACCGTGGAATCGATCTCAGGTGATAAGTTCCGAATCCGGGAGTAAAGACCGTCGATGCATTTGGACCAAGTCTAGTCCCAGTTCTTTCTCGATGATGTTTGCTGCTTGGCCATGCAACAAGCAGTTGTGATTGACACCGTCATGGCCGACATTCGGGAGACATGATCGAACAGTCTTAAATGCGATCTTGCAGTCCTAAGAAACAGCCGCTCAATCTTCCTAGACTGTCGAATCCTGCAGTTTCGGATTTTGCCCCAACGAGTTACTCCAATGATTCATTTGAAAAATTTCATCTCAGTACAGAAATGACGACTACGCAGCCTGCTGTCTCCTGCACTGTCTCACATCTGAAGCAAGCATGTGGTTCAAGAAACACCGTCTAGAGCGTCAAAGTCGCGGGAAGCGAATAACTATTTGATTAAGAGACCATATGCCAGCCAGGGCGAGAGACGGAGTATTTTTTTAGCAAAAACAATTTCAATCAAAGCCGCCCATAACCTTGAACCAGTCGGTCTATGAATTAGTCAAGCTCAGAAGACGGTATTTTCTCAGTCTATACCGTACCGGCCACTCAGCTGACAGGGGAATCACGAGGCAACGCCAATACCCGGTCAGTTATCCTCCGGAGACAAAAAATATGTAACTAGATGGCAAAGAAACAAAAAACATTATGCAGAACACGCTTGCTTACAAAAAATATTCATGACTGAATAACGAAGCGAGGTTCGACACCATCCCATCACCAAAAAAGAAGTCATCGACATGATTTATCAATAAGCAAAGAGGAGATCTGCATCCGCTACATCGGCCACAAACTTTCCTTTTATACTGTTTAAATGGGGGTTGATAAGCCCTTTTACACTTTCAAAGCGAGGCTAACTCTCAAGCAGAAAGACTCATTGCACAAATCTGAACAGAAGGACTGATTCATAATATTTCTTAGCGGTGATGCACGATTTATATCAAGCCGTTTATTGTAAGGCATGAAACACGGAAAAAAGTTTTATGCCGTTCTGCTGTTCACCGTTCAGTTTTTCATATTTATCCCACTAAATCATTGTTTATCGAGTAACATTTTTCGTCGAGCTTAATGCGCGACGCTTTAAAGAAGTCATTGGCCAATATACACCTCTGAAGGCAACTACATTAGAAGAATAAAAAGCAAGTGACCAGAGCGGAATTCGATCATGATATCTCTGGTAGCACGAGAACAAGAGACGAATCTGCGAGAATATTGTACTTGATGGATGACGTGAATAGACGGAGCAGAATAACAGTATCATCACTACATAAATCCACTGGAACCGGAAACAAAAAAATCTATTTCCAAAACAGGCTCATTAATGCACTAAACATTCAGTCCTAGTGAACCGCGAAAGACAATGTTATCCTACTCCAATCTCATCATACCCATCGCAAAGAAACAATTATATCAGAATTTCTCAATCTTATTTTGGCATAACGAGCATGAGCAACTTCAACGTGAAGATTGCCTCAGATAAACAATCTGGGCAGCAGACTAGCCATTCAATCACGATGACGTATGTCTGGAAACACAAACACTATCTACTGAGTGCCAATCGTATCACTTAATATCAATCGCAAGGCGTACAAATTGAAAGTACAAGTACGCCTTCTCGTATCGTTCCTTATCCCTCCGCTGTAGGCCATATGACGTGTCTTTGGGTTGCGAACGGGGAAAAACCTCAAGATATGGACGTTACCTATGAGGAATAAACCACAATGCACAGAAAGAGACAGTGAGTAACTGCACGATAATTAGTTCTAACGCGTGACAGCTGGCGCGAACGAGAATGACCCATGAGAGTAGTACGAGAGGGTAGTAGTTTCCCCAATTCATGACCCCGGGAGAGTAGTATTCGAAATGGTCTACTCACGTTCCGCTTATTCACCTCCAACACCCGCTAGATCGTGGGAACTCTACTGAACCTAATACGTTGCAAACACCTGATAAACTTTAAGTGGCTAAAGATTTAACCTATCATTGACACGTAAGAGAAAGCCCTGCCGGTACGCACAGCCCCTCTACGTTAGTGACGAGAATTCATATGGACATTTCTGCGCAACCACTGATCTTTTTTATGCCTAACCACATATATCCGTTGACTATGTGACGAAAGGCGGTCGCACTAATCCGACGACTGCTACAGTAGTAAGGTTGATTGATTAATAAAAACAACTTGAATCGAGCGCAAAACTAATAGCTATAATAAGAGGGTCAGAATATAGGCGTTCATTGTAGGCCTTGAGATGGACAAGACTCCATATACAAGCTTCTAAAACATAAATTGCACAACAACAACAAGAAGTTTACATGGAAAATGTAATTCATACCGGATCTGAGTCAGAGCTGGCATCTTCAGGCGGCTGTACGTTGGACAACGTGGCGATACCGTGCAAAACATTGCTCTCTGTTTCGATCAGCAACTGTTGCATGTACATCAGTTCACTGTCGAACGTTTCACTGGCATCGTGCTTAACAGCTTTTACAAACAACTCCCAGCAAACGTAAACATTTCGGAGAAATTTCTAAAGCAATATATCTCAGAAAATACACAACTAAACTCCAAGTTAGATACCCTGTAAAGATAGAGCTTATCTTCGTCCGAACAGCGCAACTCTTGGACGGGAATTAGATGCTCAGCGAGAATGGAAGCACTATCGATCAAGATCTCATGTTGTGCCTAAAAAGAGCAGTTATCGATCAGGGACTCACAGAGAAACAGAAATCATAACCTCTGATGGTCTCTGTCGGCCCTCCTTCCGTTCATCGATATCGAAAAGGGGTCGACACATTTTCAGCCAAATCGAAAGAGCCAAAAGACAGCATCGCTCAATTTCGACTATCATGTCATCTCTGCTAGTAAAGGTAACCGTTGCTTTCCTCAGGTCGTCCAAATAAGAGTCACGATGCAGCAACAATTTGAGGACGGCCTAAACTTTTAAACTAGAATGCTTCTTGGAGTTGTTTCTGTTACCTCCGCCGACTGCCATGAATCAGAATTTCGCGAAACACCACTTTTTATCACGCCTTTACAGTAAGACAACTTATCCGATATGTGTTTTAGGTTAGCAGACACTCCGCGGAGATGTTCCAGCTGCGATGTGAGTCGGTTCAACAAGGATAACCCCTGCTCAGAAAGCGCTGAAGCGTCCTTTATCAAATCACTGTCTTCAAGAGCGGCACTTTGAACTTTGAGATCACCGATAACCGCGTTCATCTGACGCAGCTCGTCGATTTTATCCTATAAACAAACAATATGGTCATGACAGAAAAAACACAAACAAGTGCAAAATACGAACTAGGAATCAGAGCATCAACAAATACGACAAACCGGTATCAACAAATCAGCGACATTTACCAATTCTAAAACTTCATGGATCACCAGCCATCGAGTTCACAAACTTAAAGTTAGTTTAAACGTACGCCGGGTGTAAAATCTACTCGCTATGCAAGCCAGTTTCTGTTTCATTGTAGGTCTTGATCATACGGTCAAGCAATATCACTGGAAATAAACGACTTCGGTCGAAAAAGCTGTTAATTATTTCATTCGGCGCATTCAATATCCTTCAATCTTATGACAGAACCCTAAACTGCATGCGCCGCAGGTTCATGCAAAATAATAATGTATAATGTACGCAATAAACAAGCATATGAACAGAAATGAGGCACCTGACCGAATCAGAACGGCTCAGAGAGTAGAAACCGCCACAAAAAAGTTCTCATAAGACATAAGGAAATTCTGTCACCGTTGGAATGTCGGCCTTCCTTTACTTTCATGACTCGGCCATTTTGGCGCCTTTCTTTTCATGAAGTTGATGGAAAGGTGTTCACCTCCGTTTCTACAGCACGAATCAGATATGCCCTACACTTTTAAAACGAAGGAAGAGTCTGCAGCCATATGGCAAACGTAACTAGCATGGAGAGACTCAAGGTTTCTTCACACAGTCGACCTTGGAAGGAAGAAGAGCGAGTGATCCACATAAGAGCTGAAATTCGGGACCTATCGGCTCTGAGTTCGACGCTCTAATGACTTTCAGCAATCCTAGACTGAAGCAATGTGTCGTAAAATTCTTGCAAGAGAATTCGTGAATAAAACAAATACTGCAAAACGTGAGGAATTGAAACCGTTATCTTTAGACTTCGAAGCAGACTTCGTAAAAACAAACTGTGTCAACATACTACCTCTTATAAGAACTAACCACGTAGTCATATAATTAGAGGAGGCGCTAACTTAAAACCTATGAAAACACATTAGAACTAGCGACAGTGAGTACGTCATTTGCTAAAAGATATTAAAATTTAACGTTTAAAATATTACGAGGAATCAATTGCGTTTGTCGTTACAAACTATCTGAGCAAACACGGCTGCTAAAATTAGCGCACTGAAAGACGAGTATAAACGGCAAGAGCTTAATGATTATCATCAAATCGTCGCCAAAAAATGGCATTTAAAAATATCAATGTGAGAAACGGGTAACAATTCAACCACAGGCAGATATGGTAAACCCCAGTATGGCGTAATGAATACGACTACTTTAGAAGTACGGTAGCAAGAAGCAAGTAGCTTCCATGAAGAGACTATTGTAAAGCGCCCCAAAAATTAGCAACGCTACTTTCTTCGTGACTTGTG